AAAAACTATTTGCCATGCGTGTTGACGATGCTGTGATTGATGAACCTGAGCACAGTGAACACAAAGAGAAGTGTATGGTTGCCATTCGGAATTGTGAAGCTTCCTTTACCTCCTATGCTGGAAGTGTACGTTCCATCAAAGCTGTGGTGGCCACTTTCATAAACTCAATAATTTGTGTTGGGATTGTGTGATGTTGATTCCTGATTGTTATTTTTCTCAAGATGTACTGTCCAACGATGTCAAAACTCCTTCATAGTCCTGCAGGTTCTAGGATGCACTCCACATGACCACAAAGGGAACCTCCGATTTTAGTTGTCAATCGTACTATGATCTACATCAAGTCCTGTTGAGGGTCCCTGTTAAAGCTTTGAGGGCAGGAAAAATACCAGCGTACCAAAAACACTCTGACTCAGGATCCTGCGAAGCCCAAGAACAAGCCCAAGAGCAAAGCCAAAGCTGTTCCTTCGCCACCACATGCTCATGAAGTATCTCCTGAAGCGTGAGCTGGGTGAAGGGAGTGAATGAGGGGATTCAGGGTAGCCTAGGGTGAGCCTTAACATACCCTTGTGTAGGATGGGTGCAAGGCATGGTGTCTCTTTGCCACCTGTTTGGATAACATCATGTGTTCCTTACCAAGAAATTCAAACTAATGTTGCCTATATATCAGAAGCACTGCCTGCCCGCCAACCGTAGTGTGCAGCCAGGCGAACAATTTTGACATCAAACACGACCTAACGGTTAAGACTGGTTCGCACTAAACATCCAAATGAACACACAAAGTGAAACTATAATAACATATAATAATATATATTGTGTTTTCCCATGTACTTCAAGCTTGGCTACACTGCTGATCTTTTGAGTTTGGATGCAATGATGCGCCAAACAAACTACAGCATCACACATGCCTGCGAGAAAAATGCTGAGCTTTGATGGGTGAGGGCCCCTGTATGGAGTTTTTGTTCTTTGGATTAGGGCGGTCCCCATGCGCAGGTGCTGAGATAAGAAATGCAAAGAGCTCTCCTTTGTATGCCTTCCTTGTCAAAGAGGCTGGTTTGGGCGAAGCTTGGCCTATCCTGCGGGTATTGGGAAATCATATATATATATATGTGTATTTAGATTTATATAGATATCCAAAAAGTTATTGCTAAAATTAGGTGTATCTGATTTTGTATTTTTTGGGGGGGGGATGTGCAGTTCGGGAGATGGGCTGAGGAAACCTCCTTTGCAAAGACTCAGCGGTTGATCGATGTGGTGGACAAGGAGTGGTAGATCTAGATTTGGAGTCATCATGTCCAGCTGTGAAGCATTGCATCCAATCAATAAGAACCCTCCCACCTGGAACCAAGATCGAACTTCCAGCTTCTGTACGACCCGTTTGGCAGGAGTTCAAGCTCCATGGAATCGAACTACAGGGGCCTTGTGCTGATTTGTTATCGGCTGGGTGCAAAGGGAAATTTACCTCGAACATTCAGAGAGACATCTTGAGAAAGGTTGACAAACATGATCCTGAACAGGCTTGGCGTGTTGGAAATGATTGCTTCAAGCAAACAGCTTGAACATATTGTGTTTGATGGGTTCTTAAGCTATGGATGGAGGATATCTGATCTCTTTGGTTCCGGCCAGCAACACAGCCACTGCTCACCTGGCCCTGTCCTGGAGGTGCCTGTCGATTGGATAGATGCTCCTGTGCAAAAGCAACGTGGTGTAAATGGTGTGGAACACAGGACTGAAGTGAAAAGGGCCAGGGAATAGTTAAGGGGTCTGAAGCCTGTTCCACAGTGGAACTCTCAGTGGTGCTTGGACCACATATATCATGTATATTTAACAGTTCAACATGTGAAAGGTACTTTCCAAGGCTTGTACAAACTGTTGATGGGTTCGATGCAGGAGACTTCCCATTGTCATGCCGCACACTTTGGTCATGTTGTTGCCCGCCATTGCTCGGTATGACCTCGCAGGTTTTTGGCAGCATCTTTGCGACTGCAATAGCCCTTTAGCCAGGATCAGCCCAGAGAAGGATCACTATCCACTTTGGATTTGGGGCGATGAAGCACAGTATCGAGAAAATGGAGATGAAGTAATGCTGATATCTATGGGGGGGTGTCCTTGACAAAAGGTCCCACAGCATAGAATCGTGTTTCCCCATAAGCATTTGTCGCTCAGAAGCTTGATCAAGATTAAAACATATTTGCTGTTTAACTTGTGTTTATGTTATGGTTTAGTTATATTTTAACTAGTTAGAGTAACAATTTTCCTTGAAGTGATTCCCCGCTGGATTTGGGGTGTGATGCAACAAGGAATTGAAAGCTGGATACCCGACCATTCGTGCCATATTGCAAGCAGCACCTTGCATGAGCTTCGTACAGCTTTGTATGTTGTTGAGTATCTAATATGGGTCCATGATGAGACATGCAGTAGCCCGCCCACCTCCCCTGTCCTTTCCTCTTCAAAACAAGAACACGATAAATCTCGAATTTCTGTCCGCAAGGTGGTGGAGTCGTTGGAGACCTTGTACAATGAAGGCGCCCTGATGCCTGGTGGAGAGAGGAAGCGATTTGCTGTCGTCGAGATCCGCGGTGATTGGAAATGGCAGCAGGACTTTCTTTAAAAGAAGTAATGGAGTTCTTTTGGCTAGAGATGTGGGTGATTAATGGTTATTTGGAACAATATGTTTGATCACCCCAACAAAAAAATAAGCATGCATCACAATGGCCTACTTGGGGCCAACATGTGCAGGAATGGCTACATCTTGCAAACTACTATTTATCAAAATCAATTTGCCATTGTTGCCGAGCTCGGGTTCCAAACTATGTGACAGCACCATCGACATTGGCCAGTGAGTTTCGCCATAGTAATGAAACTTTTATGGCTGAAGCCTGCAAAGATCAAACCAGTCCCTCTACATTGTTTGAACACGTGTTTAGGTGTTTTGTAAAGATATTGTTTGGTATGTCTGGACCCCATGCCCAGAAGGTGTTGTGTACAAAGAAACATGCACCACCAAAACTCAATTTATATATCCAACCGCGATATATATGCTATGAGGTCCACTGCTTGGATTGCCTAACTTCCAAGTGGAGATGATTCGTTGGGACCCAATGCACACGCTGAATCTCGGAGTAGATCTCTGGATATGTGGCTCAGTGATCAAGAAGCTCCTGGCTTATGACCGTGTCTGGGGAGGCGTAGACATGGACGAAGCTGACCGTTTACTTCTAGCATACGATGTGTTTAAGGCATGGTGCAGAAGAAACAAGGTGGAGTAGCTTGATGTATCTACTAGCATAATTGTGTTTTGCGTTGTTTTCACAAAGGTTTTTTATTTGAACCTTATTGATTGATGGAAGTCTTATACTTCTGGAAAGCTAAGGCATTCAATGCCAAAATTCAAACCATGGCGTCTCAGATCCAAACAGCACCCATGGCCTGAACTACAAAGTAAGGCATGGAATGTGGTTTGACTGCACCAAAAAAATGGGTGTCAACTTCTAGATCAATAAAGAACAGTTGTGATTTACATGTCTTGTTGCTTATGTAGATTGCACATCCATCCCTGTTTCTGGCCTCTTCGTCCACCATAGCTCTGAGGCCAGGTGTGTATTGGCATGGCTATGTGAAGAGGTGGTGTCGATCGCAAACGATCCTGCTTACAGTGGTGACAGCTGGTTGCCCCTTATGGTTTCTTGCACGTGACTTGTCCTATAGTCTAGAAGTCATCGGAGTTCCCAAATTCATGGGAGGAATGTAATCTACATGTCAGCAACCAGATTGACAATATAAATTATTCAAAATAGATATATGGATTGTAGTGCCAAAGCCAATAGCCGATATTATATGCAAGGTATGGAAGGAACTCTGACAGTGTTCCCTCCACAGACTGGTTTTGATAGTGCTATATCGGTCTGGGTACTGATAGAATAACAAAGTGTGTGGTTGATGCTTACCCTAGGTGGCACATGGCTGAGTGGCACCGCAACTGCGAGCTGATGCCAAGATATTTGACAGATGATCAGGCTGCAATGCTTCAAAGGCATTGTGATGGATGTTTGAGTTTCTATCTGACCTTGGCAAAGAAGGCGGTCGATATGGGCGAGCTTTTTTTTCCCTTGCCGACCAAAGCTTCATGCAACTCAAATGGAGTTAGTTTAGTTCCCTCTTAAGCTTGGATACTTAAAGATCTGTCATGAGGATAGTGGCTCACAGTTGTATCTGTGAGGCATTTCAGGAGATTGCCTTCAGCCAAACCAGAGACCGAGCCTTTCCTATATATATGGCATGTTTTGGTCACCCATCAAATAGAAGGGCTCAGTTTGTGAGATGAAATGATATAGATATCTAGTGTGGTGTTACACCACTGATCAGGAATCAACAGTCGATTCTATGCCGGCTACAAACCAGAAGACTTCATAGGGAAGATTGCAAGCCTTTGTCAAGCTGCCAACAACACCAATGTAGAGTACATTGCCTTGAAGCGATTCTACATGGGGTCTCATGAATTGGTTTAAAACAATTTTAGGTCTATGTTAACTTGGTTTGTGTGTTGTTTGTTTTATGTCCAAATCATAGAGTTTGTCTTTGGCAACCTTTGGACTACATGAGGCAAAAGAGCCATCACCAGGCCGCTGTGTTCGCTACCGGCTGAGCTTGCTCAATGGATGGGCTAGGCAATTAGGAATTTGCATGCTATCCCATCAAAGCTTTGATGATTACCAAAGTCATGACTAAAGACCCCTGTGAAATGCTGAGGAGTGGTGGGATTAGCATACTTTCGCATCGTGCAGAGTCCGAAAACGGAAAAGAGAGCTCAACAACAGGACCTTGGAGTAACACATGAACCTAAAATCAGAACCCAAAGGGTCAGAAATCTAAGCTGTGCGGAAGGGTGAGGAGCGTTAAAATTTCAACTTCCCGTGAGCATGGGATCTGGGCAGTCCCTATGTTTTGGTCCCAGGAGTGAATGACCACGTTGTGAATCACATGCTCAGCGTGTGATCAGGATCCCCAGGGGCCAGGGGGGGCCTGAAGGTCAGTGTGCAGCTCATGTTGGATGGCTCAAACTCATGAAGTTGCTATTATTATATATAGTCTAAGCCCGCACGACAGATAGAAGGCACGATAGATCGGGTTAGAATACGCACCCCTTGGGCCTAGAACTACCTGCTTGGTGTCTAACTACCTCTTGAGGCCCTGGACATCCAAGTGTATGCTCAGCGTATGATTGGCCAAGCTGTCTGTGACAGTATGTCTAGACCAAAATCTTGTCAGCATGGTCCTGGTATAACTAAGTTCCCGAATACCGTGCTGGAGAGATCCTGGGTCATAGCCTTATGAATCACCGGCTAAGCTGACATGTTTTCAATGAATCTCCCTATGTTTGACATCATATGTCAGTCTGTCTGGCTGAAAAATCACTTGTGAACCTACCTGGACCCACACTTTCATCCTGATTCCTCCAGCCCAGGCCCAGTCCACTGGTTTTACAAGCGGTCTCAAAGGCGGTGGT